CCAACGGAGTTCTCACGTGCGCAGCTGCCCCTCGACCACCCTCTACTGCCCCAGGGAAGCCTCTAACAGAAACTCGGAGACTATTTGTTAGGACTGGCGGCACGTGTCCTGGAAATCCTAGTTTCTCTAAGCACAACTTTAGCTAGAAATATAGAGAAATGGGAGTAAGAAAGATCAACTGGAGGAAGAAGAAACGCGGAGGAAAGCGTGGAAGCCGATCTCTCCAAGGATCCGGGTCCCTGCTCGGTGCTCTGTCAGGTCCAGCTGAGGACTACAGAGCTCGGCTAAGCAGAGAAGAGGACAGCCAGCAGCCCGCAGTCGGCGGCGTCTTTAGGGGAGGAAGGAGCGCGCCCGCGGCAGGCGGATAGGCGGACTGGATGTCCCGAGGCCCCTCCAGGCACTGCACTCATCTGGCCACCTGACGAGTCGCATCCCCCGGCGCGCGGGCCTAGGGCTCACAACCCGTGGTGCGAGACCTGAAAGCAGAGCCGGACGCGCACGATGCCTCCTCGGAGCTTCGGGGTTGGGAGCACACTTGCGGGGCACACGTGTGCGGGGGGTGCTGGGGCCCCTTTCCGCAGGGCGGATGCGCCTCCGACTCGCGCCCCGGCGCCTCTGCCCCTCCTATTTGTGAGCCCACAACCAGGGGGAAAAGATTTTCCCCAGCTTGGAGTGGATGGACGCTCCAGCTCGACTCACAACTAGGGGAGACACAAGACTGACCACTGATCTGTGGGTGCAGGGGAAGCCAGGGGCGCGCTCGGCCGCACGTGCTCGCGCCCTGTCGCACCGGACCTGGCCACGCGGCGACTGGAACCTGTTGCGGCCTCCGGCCCTGGGGGACGTGGAACAGCTGGGAAAGAAGCAAGGAGCAGCTGGGGAGGGCAGGGCAGGAAACGGAGGAAACAGAGTTAACCCGGGCGAGTTCGTCCTAATTGGTCCAGGGCTCCCTGGGCAAAGTCTCCTGCTGCAACCTGCAGAGTCAAATTCTAAGTCTCCAAAACGCCTCGGGCAGAGCTGGAGCGCGTGCATCCCCGCATTCGCACCCCCGAACCACAAACGGAGCCACGTCCTCTCCAGTAATTCTGGGGCCTCAAAACCAGACCACGCAGGAAGTGTGGTGGGGGGTGCCTAGTAGGAGGGCGTGGGATAGGGAGTGAGCTGCCGGAGCCTCGCTCTCCGGAGTTCTCCCGCCACTGTCTGTTGGGCAGGGAGCGCACGTCGCGGCTAAGAACCAGGGGTGCGGCCACCTCCTTACGCCCCTAGCGTTGGGTGGGGCCCCGCTGTCCCGCTCCGGGAAGCGCCCTCCGACGGAAGTGGGACTTTGCCTAAAGAAGCGCAAAATTAAAGTCGGAGCAAAGACCCTGCGGCCCCAGCGGTCGTCTCCAGTCGTGCTCAGGAAACAGAAAGACTGAGGGAAGATGGATTTAAACGACAGCCTCACCATCCTAAATGGCTATGCGTAATACCCAATTTGGAGTTTCTAGTAAAATTCAAAAGTAAAAATGAAACGTGGATTTGTGCGTGTTTGTTTTATTATTAAAAACGAATTACAAAACAATGACGGCCCTGTTTGGAGTTCTTATCTTGCTTTACTAGTAAAGTCAGCCAGTATCAACTGAACCCCAAAACATGCAGCTTTGCTAAACGCGATCCCCCGGCTGAGTTCTGCCAGATGCACAGATCTTGGCCGAACCTTTCCCGAAGACTGTTGCTACCGGGTGCGCTCTTTTTAGTCCTGGCTGAGAACCATGGGGAGGATCCGTTGACTGGGCTTAGGCTGGGACCCCAAACTCCATCCCTCCCCGGTGGGACTCTAAAACTCGCGGGGCGCACAGGAGGCTTGGACTACTGAGGAATTTCCGGGCGCGCCCACGTAGCGACAGTTCCTGTTCCCGAATAGCAGGCACAGGCGGGGGTGGGGGGAAGCCTTAAAACCCCATTTGGAGGAGGATGTTTTAGAGATACTCACTCCCAGACCTCTTGTTCAACCGTCGAAATAATACTGAAAAACAAAGTTTTTAAATCCGCGGGACAAGATACCCTCTTTTCCCCTCCCACCTCGATAGAACCTGTCTCCATTTTTGAGGTGGCGGCGAGCAGCACGGCTTCGAGACAGAACCAGGAGCCCCCTCACCGAGAGAAGCGATGCCGGCCCGGGAGACCCCAGCCCTCACTCCCCGCAGCCACCTCCGCGCTGCCGCGCGGCGGATAAAAAAGGAAACGGGCGCAAGTGCGGAGTTAGGCAGGGAGATGGTGGCGCAAAGATGCGCATCCCGCGACATGCCTGGAAGGGCCCTGGTATCGCTACCCTGGATAGGGCCTGGCGCGATGGTAATGTATCCTGTACCGGAAAACTCTGTGATCAAAATATTGCAATGAAATAAAACTTTTCCCTCACAGACGTGTTTGTATCTTGGAAGTATTCACTGCCCACGCCTAGGTTTAACATACAATTAGGTAATTGACTATTAGCTTTGAAGCGCAGATAATGCCGAGAGATTCTCATGGCAAAGTGAAATGGAACCTTCAAGCGACATTCTTAAGTTGGCAGGAATATCTGCTTCTCCTTGTCCGGCTCCTTGCACTCTGAGAACCAGTGTCCCATAAGACTTATGACCGGTATTTTTATTGGAGGGGGCATACCAACTCTCTAGGGATGGAGTTGAGCACCAAAATGAAATACACAAGGTAAGGTCGTTGGGTGCCGCTGTCACCGCAGGGTGCTATCAGCTCTCTGGACCAGGCTATCTCTCTCGTTAGAATCAGGACCAGAAATTCAATCTCTCTCTCTCTCTCTCTCTCTCTCTCTCTCTCTCTCTCTCTCTTTCTCTCCGAAAGCGGAAGGTCAGAGCGAGGGCCGCCTGGGTTCTTGGAGACACTGTGGCAGTCGCCTGGACGGTAAAGAAGCGGAGCCCACCAAGTACTGGCGGGAGCGCTGCTCACCCGTGCTTTGTATTAAGGGCAACTCTCCATAAATTCAGGGCGTTCTAAGTAACCACTCGACGTGGGTCTAGACACCGTGAAGACTTAAAATTAGGCCCTCTTTCAGAGCTGAGAAGTGTATGGTCATGTCTTCTGAACAATGATAAAATATTTCCATTGCTGAAACAACACGCAATAACTGAAATTCTTAAGAGGACTTGGGGAGAGGAGGGCTATATGAAGTCCCCATTATAAAGTTTTAATCTATTTCTATAGGAGTTCCATGAAACTTCTGTCTTTTGCAACGCATCGTGTCTGTTGCTTTTCTTGGGCTTTACTCCTAGAAAGACCGGGACCGGAAAAGTCCTCAGCCTTACGGATACCGGAAGCTGCAGGATAGATGCGTGCGAGGCTCTTTCCCCGCGCAACCCGGTGAGCAGCCGGGAGTTGGAAATTGACTCGGCAACTGTGAAGCAGAAAATGGACTAGCCACTTTTCAATTTAGGAATTACAACTAAATATACGCGGAGCCGGTGCAGTCTGCATGCAGGCATGGGAGAGAGTCATCCCTCCCTCCTTTCACCCCAAATTCTCGGGAGGCGCACTACCTGACACCCCATTGGCCTCGGGTGATGCACAGCGGCTTCCTTAAGGGAGAACCTGCAACAGAGTTCGTTTCTGGGTTCAACTCTCGAGGATTCTGAGTCGGAATGTAATTGTCTCGGGGCTGCAGACACCTGGGAGACGACTGCTGACGGCTCTGCAGACTCCCAGCATTTCTAAAGAGCTTTCTCTTTCTCTCTGCTTATTAGTGTTCGGCTTTAGTTGAGCAGAAGTTGTGAAAATAAAAGGAAATGGCAGGCCCCATCTTTTCAAGGAAGCTAGGACATCGGACATTTTGCTTATTATTTAATCTCTTATGCGGCCACACACTTTTGCCCCTGAGTTACCTGTAGAGAAACGCATCTCTTGAAAATAACCTTAAATTACCACGGAGACCTGCCTTATCTCTATTGCCCGACCCGCAAAACATGTCTTTTTTTTTTTTTTTTTTTTTTTTTAAGGAAGAAAAGGCAAAGTAAAAATAACCTGAGAACTCTCCTGGAAATTTACTGTTCTAACTCTGCATTTTAAAAATAATAACACTTTCTGTAAATTTCAATGACCCGGAGGCCAGTTGAAATCCACCAGGGCCAACGAAGAAAACCACCCCCATCCTGCACTTTCTATGAATTCACAGCTGTCCAGAGGCGAAACTGGCTGGACCTCCACCCCGCAAGGACCAGGTCGCTGAGAGGAAGCTGGTACCAGAAGTGGCTTCTACAGTGTTAGTTACTTTCTTTGCTAAAAGTTGGTGCTGGGTGGAATCCTAGAGACTTTGGTATAACTTGTTTGTATCTGACAAGACCCAGGACCTGACAAATGGATATTTTGTCCTTTACCTGAAAAACTTTTAAGACGTAAATATTATTCTAAAACTGCAAATTGAACCTCATCACTATTCACTGAAGGAGGAAAACAAAAAGTTGTAAGAAATGCCTCTACTGTTCTGCTCTATGCCAAAGACCACTGACCCAAGGCCCAAAGGGACCAAAATGCTTGGTTCTTCCTCCAAGATCCTTTACAAGGGGTGGGAGAAATCAGAGATTATATTTAATACACTCCAAATCCATGTTGACTTTCTGAGTCTTAAAAAGATACTTTCTAAACATTGTGCAAGACAAAAACTTGATAGGACTTCGAACCTTGCAAAATTTCAAAAGCTGTTAGGTCTCCTGAACTTCTCTTCTGAAAGCTGCACTGACTGGCAAAGTTATCAGAAGAGTTGAGATATTCTCATCTGATTCTGATAAATGTAGGTTGCCACACTGGAAAATTCCGGTTAAGGAAAAATACTGTACAGAATTCTCTGGATAATGACTTCAATTTCCCAGTTCCTTTTGCCAGAATAGGTCTAAACTGTCAGAAACTCAGATTTTGAATAAGTGACCTATCCCAGATCAATCTCCAACTCTGTCTATTGTATATTGCTGTTTAGTCATCATTGTTCCTAACCCAGAAAGAAGACAAAATTCTGTTCATTTACATAGTTTATTGTTGTAAACATTAAAATTGTCTTTCTCAAAGAAAGAATTTATCAGGAAAAAAAAATCAGCGTCTCTAACTGTCATACACCATAGAAAAAAAGGCAGTGACTCATATCGTGTGCCATACTGGAAATATACAAAGAAAAATACTACAGAATATGGCAATATTAAAATTCTTACTCAAACATAAAATAATATATTAACTGACAATCTTAGACATTAAAACAAAAAACAAAAAAATTCAAAGTGCTCAGTAATTTCCAGGGAGTTATGTATATTATAAGCACTCTGGAAACGGTCAAAAGCTGCTGCATGCAAGTTCTGTTTAGCTTTAGACAACAAAATAATCAAGATATAAACTTTCTTTTATCAACATCAACGGTACATACAACACTTACAAACAAGGAATGTTGGACGGTGTTACAAACACTATGTGTCCCTTTTGTCAGGATTTTCTGATGTGTAATACTTGTGCCCACCTATTTTACAATTGAGAAAATGTTTAAGCTCAGGTAACTACCAATCTTTATAAAATCTAACAGACTACATAGTGTCTGAAATACTATTTATATAATATAGACATTACTGAAGTAGCAAGTGCCTATAACATTTTCAACCTAGAATCAACATGCTTGTCCCTTTTTTGTGGTTATTTCTTTTTTCTTTTTTTTTTTTGCAAACACACTTATCTTTTAGAATTTGTAATATTTATTCATAAATAGGCACAAAATAATTTAAAAAGCCAAACTGCATTGGGTAAATTTACAAGCCTTTGCCTTCTTCAACTCATGCCACCCACGCAACATTTAGTTTTACTATATATTACAGCTTTCTTTACAGCAGAAAACTTTGAAGTCTTTTAAAGGGCAATACTTGTGGGTCCCCTTACAATGTGGGTGTGTGTGTATGTGTCTATGTGTATTACATTTGTCTTAACTGCAACAACCAAACATGGCCAAATGTTTTCCGTCATACATTAAGAAGCTTCCTTCTGAACAATAAAATGATTTTTAAACTGATAATAAAAAGTTTATACCACTGTATTGTGTGTAGTCCGTGTTCTAAATCCAGGATGCCCCGGAGCCAAAATGCCCTTTCAGGTTCTGCCTGCAGGTTAGGAAATAGTAACAGTTTTTGCTTTTGTTGTTGTTTGTTTGTTTGTTTTCTTTAGAGATCAAGGGCCAAGGTGTATGGAAGGGGTGGGGGCCGGCTAGAGCTGAGGCAGCTCAGGGGTATCTCTGTGCCCTTGTGACTTGCCCCCTCTGGACAGTTTTAGGTTTCTTTCCAGTTTCTTTGAAGTGCATGGAAGGAGGTCTTAGAAAGGTAAAGTGTCCAGGAAAAGTTTGTCAATTATTGCTGGTGGTGGTACCAAATCTTCCAGTTTCAGGTAGAAAATGCGCTGTAGCCCCTGCGTGCAAAGCGTACGGAGTTCTGGAAGCTTCCCCAACAGTTTGGACAAATAGTTGGGGCGGTTCAAGCCCCCATTATTGAAAGTCACATGGTCTTTGAGACAATTTACAATCTTGTTTTGCAGCTCCTCCACTCTCTTGGGTTCCTTGAGACCGTGTCTCTCTGCAGAAAACACAACCAGAAACAAAAGAGGAATGCACCGAGCAGTTAGCTAGCTGACAGGACCAGGGAGGGTCGGCAGGCAGCAAGGGAAAACCGGGACGAATCCCACTGGGCAGTTCTGGAGAAGTGCCCTGTGCCTGTGGTACTGACCTGTGACCATAGCCAGGGCAGCAATGCAGGAGAAGGCAGAAATGTCGATGTTCATATTCTGCAAGTTGGAGGAGAATTCAACAATGGAATCAATCCATTCCCCAAAGCCACGAACGCATTGCAACCTGTGCAAGACCACCCCATTGCAAAAGATGAGTTTACCCTCCACTGGGTTGGACCTGCAATTAATACCAAAGAGAGGGGGAGGGGGAGAAAAAGAGAGAGAGAGAAAAGCTAAACAACTAATTACTTGAAGAGCAATAAATGAGGGATTTAAGAGGCACCTAATTACCAAAGAGTTAATAAAACGTAGGCCAGTGGACCTTGAAAGGGTTTAATTTCATAACAATCAAGAATGCCCCCTATCCCACCTCCATTCCATTCATCTAAGGCTTCTGCCCTCACTCCTTCCCTTCTCTTCCTTTTATCTACTCTCCTTTCCTTCCTTTCCCCCTCATTTATTTCCCGTTCTGTTCTCCTCTCTTTCCCCCTTTTCTTTCCCTCTTCCTCTTTCTTTTCCTTTCTTGATTCCTCTCTTCCTCCATTCCCAGCCTTCCTGGATCGCCCTCTCCATTTACCTGTATGCTAATCTCAGCACAAATAGTTCTAGGAAAGCCGACTCGAAAAGCAGGTCCTGGTCGGCTTTGGGCAGGTCAGCGAAGCCGGGGATCTTCTCCGCCCAGCCCCTGATGATCTCCATGGAGCCAGTCAGGAGATCATAGAATTGCTGGATATGCTGGGTGTCATCTCCACTCATCTGATAGTCAGGGTTCGCCTGGAACTGGAATTTCATTTTAAAAAGCACTTAATGAGGTTCTCTAAAATATATAACCCGTGAAATTGCTAACCTCGTTTCTAGTAGGGGAGCCAGGTTTTTATAACAATTAAACCTCTCTCTGACCAGTAAGGAAATTAGATGTTCCGGGGCAATTAATTCAATTAGGGATGGTGCTATGAGGTCGCTGCTTTAAATATGTAAATTACCATTTCCATACAGACTAAATACGGTGCCAACCAGCCCTGGGAAACGTTCCCTCTTATCTCCACAAAACAATTGACACGTTAGTATTCATGCCAGTCCCAGAGTGGGTCTCGAGCAGAGACGCCCTTTGCAAATCTCAATAAAATTGCAGTGGCTTCTAGGTTTGCTTCTAGGTTTGCCTGGCACACTTCCTCCATTTAAAGCGCACACATTTCTCATGGCTGGGGTAAAAGAGGAATCTGACCACTTGATTTCCCCGCCCACTGCCATTCCTTATACCCCCTTCTCTTCCCCTTCCCTGACCCGGGAGGAGGCATCCCTCACCCTGACAGCACCAGAGAGAATGAGGATTAAATCATCTCCATGGAGGACTGGTGATAGAACCCAAGCGGGGGCTTTTCCACTGCCTCTGGTTTAGGCATCAGAGGCACTGGTGTGTGTGTGTGTGTGTGCTGGGAAGGGGCCTCACAGAGGTTTGACCACTGTGGCCTACCCTCTCTTCCTTCCTCTGCCCTGTCCTCACGTCTGCAGCCCTAGCAACGCCATCTGTCTTCTGTGGCCCTGCCCAGAGCTGTGAAGCCACAGCCTCGCATGCTTCCTTTATCCCTTGGGCCTGGGGGTTAGTGATGGGTGTGGGGAAGGGGTCCTGCCCATCTGTCAGTTGTCCGAAGGATCCCCCCCCGCGCCAGCTTCTTACCCTGGAATAGTCCAGGCTGGTCATAGCCGGGTTGGAGTCGACATGGGCCCTGACGAGGGCACTGATCAGACTCACCGGGGGCGAGGGGGGAGAGGGCTCCTGTGGGCTCTTCGGTTTCGAAGGTAAACGACCTCTCCGGCCTTTTAAACTGTCTGTGCGAACCACTGCAAAGGAATCGCCGGGTGAGGGCAAGCAAGATCCAGCTGCTGCCTGGGCCCCTCCCCGGGGGAAGGCCGCAGCCGCGGGGCGCCCGGCGGGGCGGGGCAGCGCCCCACCGCTTGTAAAGCCTTATACTGACAAGAAGCGTAAAAAGGGGGGGGGTTGTTTCATGTCGTCTTCCCAATGGGTCGTATAGTTAAAGGTGGGAAGGGCCTGGCGGCTTTCTCTAGGGCAGGATGGGCTAGCAGGCAGCTGCCGAGTCGTAGAGGCCAGAGGCCGGTGCGGGGGAAGCAGGAGACCTCCCCCAGCCCCCGCCCCGGCTCTGGGAAGTGGGTTTGGGGCAGGAGCAGAAGCTTCCCAAAGAGGCAGACTGGGGAGTGGGCTGCTGGCCCCAACCTACCTTCTTTCACCATCCCAACAGCCAGGCACTTCTGAAATCTGCAGTACTGACAGCGATTCCGGCGCCGCTTGTCCACTGGGCAGTTTTTATTTGCTAAACACACGTATTTCGCGTTTTTTTGCACCGTGCGCTGCAAAAGGAGACAATACAGGCCGGAAAAAAAAATTTTTTTTTCTCTTGAAAATCCAACACAATTCAGGGAATCCAGACACAATTTCTGAACGGCCGGGATCCACACACCCTCCCCATAAACAAACACATACACAACTCCTTTTTATTTTTTTCTTTTTCCTTTTCTTTCTCTCTCTTCTCTTTTTCCTCCCCCAGGGCATTTAACAGAAGAAAATTGATAGCGTTAACATTTGAGCTAACCTTGCCGCTCCTTGCTGTGTTTTATATGCCAAGAGAAGAAGGAGACGCTCAGTAAATACAAATCCGTGGGCATTCATATTATTTACATTCCTTAGAGACCTTCTCTATTTAAAATGATAAGATTATTCAATCAGGATGGCGAAATAAAGAGATCACTTAATTTGACCATAGGGAATTCTGTTCCACTTGGTTAGCTCAGACACGGTTCTCTGTCCTAACCAATTTCAATCTGAACAGAGAAGACAGCTCCTAGCACATGCAAATGACCCTCTTCCAACTCAGCTCCGGCAACTTCGGGCGGGGGCTCGCCGGGTCGGCTGCGTGCGGGGGATGCGACCCCGGGTCTCCCGGTCTTCCTACTTCCCTTTCCAAGGCACCCAGAAGCCTCCACCGCAGCCCAGGGGCGGCTGCAGGGCAGCCCCCGTGGACCCCGGGAGTCGGACGGTCAGGGGCCAGTTGGCGCCGGGCGCCTGCACCCCGGTGGAACCAGCACTCTGAGGCTCCGGGCACTAGGGGGCCCCTACCTGCCTCCTCCGCCCCCGTCCTGGCTCACCTTAAAGAACCCTTTGCAGCCCTCACAGGTGCGCACGCCGTAGTGCTGGCAGGCCGCGTTGTCGCCGCACACGGCGCACAGCCCCTCGTTGGAAGGGGAGCCCCGCGACGGCGGCGAGGGCACCTGCGTGTCGAGCAGCTGCGACGCGTGACCGATCTGCAGGCCGGGGAAGCCCATGGACGCGGGCTTTCGGATGGGGTTGGGCACAGCGAAGGTCTGCCCGTCCACCACGTGGTGGCTGCTCGCCGGCTCCGGGTTCATGGGGACGTGCAGGGGCCCGTCGAAGCGCATCTGGCAGCTAGACACGGGGGTGCCGGGGGGCGACTGCTTAAAGGAGAAGAGGGAGAGGCGGGAGACCGGCGTTTTCCTCTGCTCAATCATGTGCGTGGTGGCCACGTAGTTCTGGTGGAAGTTGTGGAGGGAGCCTGGGTCGTCCCACATGGGGCTGTGCTGCACCTGGAAGCCCGGGGTGGTGGGCGTCGGGGGAGAGGAGGGCTTGTAGTAAACCGACCCGGAGTGCGGCATCATCTCCTCGGACTGGGGGGGCAGGTGGCTGTGTTGCTGGTAGTTGTGCATCTGAATGTCTTCTACCTTAATGGAGGACTGCTGTCCGGACAGGGGCATTTGGTACAAGCAAGGTGGCTTGACGTCGTAGCCTGTGCTGTAGTTGTCCATAAAGGTACTGAAGCTGGGGAGAGAAGTGGTGGCAGTGATTTCAGTGTTGGTGAGGTCCATGCTAAACTTGACAAACTCTGGAGTTAAGAAATCGGAGCTGTATTCTCCCGAAGAGTGGTAACTGTAGCTCTGAGAAGCGGGGCTGGCTCCTTGAGGCGAGGACCCATACTGCGCCTGAACACAAGGCATGGCTGGAAATGAAACAGGGTAATATACACTCAGCCTGGTCAACTGAACACTTTCTCCCGGGCTCGGGTACACCTGGAGCTACACCGGCAGCCCGCGGCGGTCAGAGAGCACGTAGGGGCGCGAGAGGAAGGGCGGAGAGTGCGAATACTGAGGAGCGAAACAGTGCAGGACAAGGAAAGACTGATCCAATAAAGACCCAGAACTAGAAAGCTATTACAGTCTCCATTCCCGGATATTTCCAGCGCCTCCCCCTCCGCCCCCTTTCATGGGTAATCCCTCTTCAATGAGCCTTTCCTCTGAAGCTCGGGTTCAGCAAGCTCAATCCAGAAATCAAGTTGAATTGCACAATGAGAAACTTGTTCCCGAAGGCGATGGGTCGGGGGAAAAACTTAAGTTACAGGGTTTGCTGGGAAAGATCGCATTGCCCTGTTTCTTGATGTTTACGGAACTCGGGGGAGGGAAAGAAAAAAAATGAAGTTGCACTAACCTTCAGCTGAGTTACAGGCGTTTTCGAGAAAATTAAAGGTGGACAGTGTCGTAATTCAATGAAGGACAAAGTTTCCAAGATTTTTAGAAAAGCAGTGGAGAGCCCAGCCTGGCAGTTCTCCTCCCTGAAATAAAGACACAGGAAGCCTTAGGGTGACTTTCCGGACAGATCTGCCTGGGCATCTGTATCACCAGGCAGGCCCTTCTTGATTGTTTAATTGGAAATTAGTGTGTAGCCTTTATCAAACACCATTTAAAATGAATGTCTAAAAGAGATGGCTGGAAACAACAGAAAATTTCACCCATTGACTGTGTCGATCCTTGCAGAGAATACCTCTGAAGAAGGAAAGGTATTCCATGTACTTATTTATGATGAAATAAGTTGGCCCCTTTACTGGGCATTTAGGGGCAGTGCAAGGGGAGTGTCATTTCCATGTTAGTTTAATTCAAAACTAAATTAGAAGAAACTGGGGTTTAATAAAATACAGCATAGGAACCTTCTCTTGAATTTTTTTTTTTCCTGTGGTGAAACTGGCTTTTCATCTAGGAAGCAGGGAAGGAAGTATAAGTCAAGAATATAAAATGTGAAAACAATCTCTTCCTTCACCCCCTAGGAGTTACAAAATGTTAGCAGGGCCCAGGTAGCCCTGAAGGCAATCTTAATGGCAGCATCTGGATTTCCTAAGAGCTTTTGACGGAGCACTGGGTTTGGAGATCCAGGTGAATGGGCATTCACTTCTCCAAGAAATTTGTCTTTCATCTTTAATGGCCAAGAGGTGGAAACAGGGGACCCTATTTTTTCAGAAGCATCTTAGTCAGTTGCAGGGAGAGGGAAATGCTGCATATCCAATAGTGGCACCGGTGTTAGAAGCACCTCTCAACATAGCAAGCTGAGCACCTTTCCTATCCAGCCTTCCACAATCTGCCCTCTTGCTGGAACAAGGCATTCTTGTGTCCTAGTGCTTTTCAGATCTTCCCACTTGGAAGGCATTCTAGAGCATAGACGACTTTATTACTAATGAAAAAGAAAGCCAAACATCCAATTCTGTTCTCCTCCCCCACCCCCCTTCATAATCTTGCTTCATGGAGGAGGGAGGGTAACCAGAAAAAGTAAAGAAAGGAGACTCTTGACCCTCACAGCCCTTGACAGATATGCCTGTGCTGGATATTAACCCTCTGGTAACTTCGCAGCTTCATAACTACTCTAAATAGTCTGTCCCTCTGTCTCTGCCTCTCTGACAAACTCACTAACACAAGCGCGGCACATGTCAAAACCAGAAATTTCAAGCAACTTAGTAACAGGTCACTCTACCAACCGCCCCTCCTCACTCAACAATACCCAAGAGACACGGGCACGCTGGCCAGCCGCGGTGATACAGTTCCCAAGCAACACATAAACTGAAGAACTTTCACTCTCCCTGTCACTTTGTGGGCAGCGTCCAGGTCCCTCGTATACACAGGACTTGGAGTCTACGTGTCCAAAGACCACAATCAATTCCGCACCAAGAGCAAACTTTGCGCACATTTCCGCGTGTTAAGTCCGCAGCTCCCGAAACTGTGCAAGCCTCCCTTTCACGTCCACCAATGAGGAGCCTGGAAGCCTCTGTTGGGTGGCAAAGCAGGAGTTCCGACAAATGCCCTCTGTAGCTGCGCACACCTACTCCCCATCCTCCGGCCCCACTCGCGCTCCGCGCCTTCGGCGCCCACCTCCAGAGAACCTGCACCACACAAGCGGGAAGAAGAGACGTGCAAAAACAGAAAGAAGGATAAAAGAACGCGAGCTGTACGGGCTGCACCTACTCACTTAGGAGTTCTCCGTGTCTCTCTTCATTCATTCAACTCGGCCAAAGTGTAGTTCCCTTCGGGAGTCGGGGTGGCAGGGTCGGGGAGGGGTGGGCGAGAGGGGCGAAGGGAACGGAGGCGCCGAGAGCGGGGAGGGAGCAGGGGAAGGCGGCGGCTGGGCAGGCGAGCGGGACCGCGGAGCCTAGCGCGAGCCACCGGGCGGACTGGCCCTGGCCGCCAATGTGCCTTTGTTTATGTGGCTCGCGCTGCCGCTGCCAACATTCACCTAAAGTCTCCGCGCGTCAGCGCGCGTCAGCGGCCTGCCGCCCAATCGCCGAGCCGCCGCGCTCCCCAGACTCCTGGCCGGCGCTCGCTTTGGTATATTTCCGACCTGACGTCACGAGCAGGGCCGATTTTAAGGTGGGAACCGTTCAGGGTTCACCTTGGTAGCCAGCGAGGTTTTTTTTTTTTTTTCCCTTTTCCGAAAGAGGTGTGACCTCTCCACTCAGGTCTGCGCAGCCCACAGAGCCTCGACATCTCCCCTCCCCTCCCCCCAACCCCCCACCACCCCACCCCCGGCTAATCCCCGCGCCGCCGAAGGGGTCCGGCAGCTCACAGGTGGGGGAGGGTGCAACAAAAGCCCGAGCGGGAGGGGACCCAGGCGTGGGCCAGGTAGCCAGCACCTGGAATCGCACGAGACGGGGCGTGCCTGGCAGCACGCTAACCTCGCCCACCCACAATTGCCACCCCCGTTAGCGGAAGCGAGTACAGATGTCCCATGACACGAGACGCTCGGAGGGCTCAGGCAATTGGGGTGGGATTTCCCTTGTCCAGTGCACCCCC